ACGCAAAACCGCCCCCCCCCCCCGCACACACACACACACACACACACACACAAGACCTTCTATGGTTGTCCCACTATGACTTTCTGATAGTGAATGTAGAAGAGGGCTCCTATGGCTGTCTGGGAGGAAACCCTCTAAGTGGGAACCGGGGACTGAAACTACAGCCAGACCTGACACCACTGCCAGCCCATGTGGGGTTGGGGGCAAGGTGGCTCAGAGATGGACTAGCTCGGGACAGAGTGAAGGATTAGGCGTCAAGTTGAGCCACCCTGCCCGTCAAGAGAATGCACCAGGGGCTGGGAGGGAACATTTCCCTCCCAGGAAAAACCACCTTAGTTTGGTAAAGAACACACGGAACACACGGCACACACGCTGCGCACGCGCGCCCCCGGACTCCAGCGGCTTTGTTTCAGCGGTACCTGCAGATCTATTTACCTCCTCAGCCCCGCCCTCCTGAGAGCTTATATACCAAGCCCAGCGAGACCCCGCCCACTGGCAGCTGGGTGGAACCCGCTGCCGGCCCCGCCTCCTTTCCCCACCGCCTCTTTCGGCGGTGATTGACTATCTGCCGCGCGCGTGCCCGCCTACCGCAAACGTTGATTGGTGCACGGAGGGAGGTAGGTGAAGGAAAGCTGATTATGGAGCTCTTTCTCCCTCCCACCCGCCCCAGTGGGAAAGTCACGTGGCGCTTCACTCGGCGCTAGCCACCGCCGCACTTGTAAAAGCCTTCTTAAAGAGCTCGCGTTCCCTTACCCAGGGACCCAAGGTCCTTTCAGACTCTTTCCAGCTGTGCCTGCGGTGGGTGACAGTGGTCCTCGAACCATCCTACCCCCGAGAGTCACGTGGGGGACGGTTCCCTCAGCAGACTTGCTGGGGTAAAGCCCTCCAACTCAGGTCAGGAACCCTACGGCCATCCCGAGGGATGATGCGGTTATCCAAAACTGCGACCGCCTGACACAGAGCACGACGCGCAGTGGGAGTTCAGTTTCCATGTGTTGAATGAACGCGACCCGAGAATGAATGAGGGTACCAGACGAGAGGAGGGAAGGTTGGCTCTAGGTGGCCGCCCCCCACGCCCCACTCGTGGAGAAACTCTGCCTTTGTAAATGTTGGGTGGGGCCCCCGTGCAGCCTTCCTGCAGGGCACAGATCTAGGCGCTCAGCCACAGGGGATCCAAGAGGGT